AACTATAATGATCAAAAAATATCATCCGCGAAAAGAACATGGCTCCATTGATGAATATCCCAATTTACATGTTCTGCTGCAAAGTTTTTTCTTGCTCTACGATGAGCTGGTGTTAAATGAGGAACAATAGCTTGACTTCTTGAGTGTAGTTGGGCCTCATGAAATCTGATACGTGTAGTCTGTAGAGATATGCGTCTCCAAGTGGCCTGAAAATGTAAGTTTCTTATCTGTGTAGCTGTTCTTGTCCTATTTTGTAGGGATAATCGTACAATTTGGCGGTCCTGTTAGGGCGTAGTTATTCTTTCTCGTGGTGTATATGGATGGTCTTCTACGCATATTACCTATGTCTTGAAATCTATTCCACATTCGGTGAATCGTTGGTTGACTTGTTTGAAGCAAGCGGGCTACGTATCTCTGCGAACGTCCTTCTTGTAATAGTGTAACGGCTCTTGCTACTTCAATTTCACTTAGATGCCTTCTTTGTACAATAGGCCTTCCTAGAACATCGTTATTCATAATTTCAAGTCAGTTGTTAAAGTTACAAACAATTTACTTGGTGTACAACGTAAAACTTAATGTATCAATAGTGTTCCAGACCCTATTGGTAGAACATCAGTGGTCATCAACCACTTAGGGTTTGATGATAAGCCAACCAATAATATACACACTAACGACTTGAAAAGTCTGTTTTTCCCAAAAGGCGCAGTATTTACGGATTCCCTAGTTACCTGTTGCTTTGAGGTTCAGTAAAACTCAATTAAAAATTAACTTTCAATATATTAAAATTAGTAAAGATCACAAGTACAAAAGAACAAAAATTATGTTAAAACACAAACAACCTTGTGTAATGAACAACCTATTATTAAAGTGGTAAAAACTAGAACCAGTCAATTAAGTTGTTAATACCTGCACTCAATTGTAGCTATTAGAATAAAAATAGTCAAAACAATACGATACGTGTTTTGTAGATCATGCACCTGATCCACCGTTCAACCCAGTTACGGCAGCTCTGCAAATGACCCACACGCAGCGACACAGTACACCATATCAGTGAAGCGAAGCACCATAGACCAAATGTCCAACCTCAGACAGGTTCAACTCTAGAACCACCAAGCGCTCCAACGTGGTTACTAAAATGCCTTGAGGCACTCAATACGGCACATAACTAGCCAAGAAGAGCCAGAATTTTTTAAAAGCGAAAATCTAATGTCAGAAAATTAATTTTTTTTGACTTGTTACTTCGACATTTCTTAGTTGCCCCATGCAACTAAGGATTTTACAGGGTGGTAGTGCCAAAAATTAACAATTAAATTATTATGACTAAAGGTGACTCATATTTAACGTAATATTGTACAAAAAGTTAAAATAAGGAAAATTGTAGCCAAATGTTGTGAGGTTTCACAACAAATAGATACTTTTAATTTTTTGCGTATATATTTTTTTTCTCATCTCCTCATAAAAAAAGTTTTGTTTTTTTATATTGAAAATATTCATTTAGGTGTGCTTGTTATTTGTATAAATTTTAATGGAAAATACGGGGACATTTAAAAAGATTTAGATAATTAATTCAGTGATAACTATGTCGTTTATTTCGTTTATTTGATTTCAATTTTGTAAAAACTGATTTATAATATTGTAGTCGCCATTATAAAAATTGACTGTAAGAAAATCAAGATGGTGCCATTAAATATTATTACATTATTTTATGTATTGATCCGCGTACTATTTAAATGTGCAGTAACATTTATTAAAATCCAATATACAGGGTGATATTCTAGCCAAGAAGGGCAATATAAAAAAAGTATAATATAAAAAAAATGTATATTTTGTGATATACCCCTATATTACTAATTAATTTTAGAATTAAGACCATACAGAACTTTACGAAGGGTACTTTTTCGTTAAAAGGAAAATATTTTTAATATTTTTTCACCTTAAATAGACACACTACATAATAAAAGAATAAAGTTTATTATTCCAGTTTCTCGATTATTGTTATATTTAAAACACTAGCCCAACATTTGCGATTGCCTTTTTTCGAACTTTAAAACTTTATAGAATTGAGCAAAAGTATCGAATCAATTTTCTACCCCTTAGAGATTTCAAATGGAAACCATTATGAAATTTTATAAACTACGAACAGTAGCACGTAATCATTAATCACGTCACATCTGAGCAATTAGTAATATTATCAAATTTGCAGCGCGCCATTCCTACAGATAAACGTACATATGTATATAACGCATTTATTGGCATATCAATCGTCCAATATTGTAATTGTCACACAGACCATTTGCGAAAATGCCGGTCTGCTCTCTATTAAAATTTGATTATAATCTCAAAATCCCTCGAAACGTGCATACAATAACTTGTAGTTCTGACGCCTGGCCATGTTGGGTAATAAATTATCAACTAATCTTTGTTATAGTACAACCGGCATGACTTTAAACACATTTACCAACACTATTTTCTATTATTTATTTAGATAAATTATACGATTACTATTTCTTGCTATATCTTTTACATAGAGTGGTTGGAAATTCCTTTGTTGCATATTTTTAATTTAGTCATTAAAACGGAAACATTTCCAGAAAAATGGAAAACTGTAAAATACATCCCCATTTACAAATCGGAAGTTAATAGTAATATCTCAAATTATAGGTGTATTTCAATTTTGTCAGCGCCAGCAAAATTACTTGAGCAAATAATATATCAACAACTTTATTCTCATGTAGAAAATAGCATAAATATATGGCAACATGGATTTATTAACAAGAAATCAGTAAATACGAACCTACTGCAATTTCCAAACGAAATTTACAGGCATTCGACAAAGTTGATCACGACTTACTATTTAAAACTTATTTACAAAATAGAAAGTTTGTTGTTACATATACGGGCCACAATTCTAATTTATGTGATGTGAACTCCTTAGTTCCTCAGGGCTCAAATCTTGGTCCTCTTCTCTTTGTGCTTTTTATTACTGATTTACCAAATGTTCTAAAAGATTCGGCTTGTGTACTATTTGCTGATGATCTTAAAATATACAAATAAGTTATAACAGTTAGGGACTATGTTGGATTACAAAGGGACATAGACAGAATAGTACAATGGAGTTTAGTGAATAAATTGCCTTTTAATACAAAAAAATAACGTAATAACCTTTACTCATAAAAAAATTTGATATTATAAATCGATTCTTTTGTTTTAAGAACCATCTTCTTGAATCTTCAGCAATAACATCTTTTTTTTTTTAATATTGAAATCACCATACATCGACGAATATTTATTAAAATTATTGTTTAAAAAATGAATTGACTGGTATGTGATAAAAAAAAACCTGAGTTATAAAAAAGATTCTCTGTAGCGTCGGGTCAGAAAAGTTATGGTCAGCCTAAATTATAGAGGCGTCAGTCGAGGTGCTTGCTCGATTTAAATGTGTTCCTTCCGCCGGCACTGTTTAAATCAATGTTTATGGATATTGTATCATTATTAATATAGAGTAAAAGTTGTTTAATTTTACTTGACAGAGCATGTAGCTACCAGGGGTCGATTCTCGACTCGTAGGAATTTTTCCTATAGGAATTATTGACATTTTTCTATACATCGGAAATTTATGACATTTTTCTATACATCGGAAATTTATGACATTTTTCTATACATCGGAAATTTATGACATTTTCCTACGTATAGGAAAAGATTCCTACAAGTCGAGAATCGGACCCCTGACTACTGTTATTCACGCAGGAATATGTCAAGCAGGACTACGGAAATTATAACGGCTAATAAACGAATGATTTCACTCTCCGGAGTAAGTCCTGCTATCGTGAAAGCTCCGTTTATATTATCCCATTTGACACGTCGCTATCGAACTACTGAGCCCATGAGATATGACTACTCATTTATTAGAATGCAGATCACTAAGGATTTACTGAACATGAAACAATTTTCGATTTATAACTTGTCTTGTTTTCGATTCTGTGTACATTTAGTGTGTTCGACAGCTATTACTTTTAATAATGAATGAAAGTCTTTGGCGTAACAAATCTCTATGTAAAAGTAAATATCTGATTATAATGAATGTTTAATACTGTAAATAGAATGAAAATTTTAGAATTTTATTATTGTTGACAGGAAAAGTAACGCACACTGACATGATATGAATTTTTAAATATCTCTTTATGAATTCAATTTCATGTGTAAAAGAGTATATCAAAATTGTAATTAGTTAAAAGCAATCACCTAGACGATAAAACTTGCTTACTTTTAGTCTGGTGTATCGTTAGTATCGTTACATTTAATTAAATTTGTTTGTCTTAAATTTGCTTAACATTCTAACAGGATAATAAAAAAAATTATTTACAACCACATATGTAATGCTGTCATTACTAACATCATTGAAGGTTGGGAAGTGCCACATTACACATCTCTACTTCCCGCCCTCATTTCATCTATTCTAGATGAATATTTTTTATATTTAAAAAAAATAACACATCTTTTTGACAAATTTTATAATACCTATTTAATGGCAAACAATAAAAAACAACAATGAACTAAAATACAACAAACTACCTACTTATTGATATTTATTATCCGACTTTATCTGACATTTATTTTTATTGGTGACAATTGTTTACCCCGTAATCACGGTAGCAATATATTTACTTGATTATTCTGAGAAAACCGCGCGCCTGGTAATTTGTCGTTAAATGTAATATTTTAGGTATGTTCAGAACGAAACAGAGATTTGTTAACTTTGATCGAAATATGATGGTTGTAAATAAAATAGTATACAAACTTCAATGGAAAGTTTCATTCCTGTCTCGAGATCATAGCTAACCTCGACGCTTCGCGTCTCGGTGAACTAACTAATCTAACGACAGGAATGAAACTCTTCCCACCTCGGTGTGTAATATACTATTTTTATTTTCATAAAATAATGCAAAACAGTGAATTACAATTCTGTATTGTTTATTAACAAATATTTCTCTTTGTTACAGACAAAGCAGTCCAAGGAAACTGCGTGGTGTGTCAGGCCCAATTAGGTCCTCAGCTCCATTCCAGACCTTTAGCTCCCAGTCAGGCGTCCGTTTATGGACTTCGCGAAGATCAAGTACCACCAAATTCGAGAGTATGTAATACCTGTCGTTGCAAGTCTGTCCGATCCCGTTATACTCATTGCCCTCTGCCATCCTGTCCAAACTCGAGAGGTAGAGTCAAACGACTTAGATCGTTTCCAGACCGATTGCAAGATCTACCTGCGGAAGTCAAAGAACCGTTGCTGGCTGAATTTCGAGTGCCCAGTGGAGTAACGAAGTGTTGCTCGGCTTGTTACAACAGAATTCAGCGAAGACTGGGCCCTGTAGAGGATTGGTCGGAAGAAGAATTTAATAAACTTAAGGCAGCTCTTACCGAATTAGGCACCAACTGGCAATTGATCGGGGACAGATTGAATAAACCGCCACAAAAAGTTAAGATGTTCGTTGCAGCAAATCGCAAAAAACTGAAGAATTGCTTCGGAGAGGATCGAAAACCAGCTTTATCCACTGACGAAGAAAGCGGTTCTAGCACTTCGAGTTGCGACGAGCCACTGATAGACGGCGATAGACATTCTAGTGACACTGCTAGTGCTGCAGAAAGCCCGCCTGTTCAGGGCTTAAATGATAGTACAGTGAAAAAAGTAGATTATGATTCTAGTGCAACTGAAACAGCAGATGAGGCTCAAACACCTGATCACTATCAAGCAGCAACCATAACGCCTGTTACTAATGATGGACAACCATTAAGTGTTAAAGATCTCGTATTAAATGTGATAGAATTTTCTTTAATGAAAAACGCGGGAGGCCAACAACAGACGCAAAATCCTCCAACAAGTGGCATGGCGCCTACAATTTCTTCAATATTAAATAATGATTCCAATGAAGTTACTATAGTTAGCGAATATAATCTCAATAATTTGAACAGTCAACAAAGACAGCAGATACAACAACGTTCTGATCTTAACTTAGCAAAATTGGTTACACCCTTAATAGGAGCGACAATAACGCCTGTTTCTGGACCTGTACAAACGCAGTCTCAGTCGGAGCCCATGCAGACGTCCCGAGATGATTTAATCGTGTTGCAAGTTCCGGACGGTCGAGAACCAGAAACTTTAGATCTTAGTATAAAGAAACCTAGAGAACCACCTCCACCTGCCCACACAAAACATCAACCTCAACCACAGTCTCAGCCGCAGCAGCAGCAGCAGCAACAGCAGCAGCAACAACAACAACAAATACATCGTTCCGATCCTTATATGTACCACCAAGAACGGAAGAGTCCAGCCTTTTCGATAAGGACACAACCCAAAATATCTAGTCCGAAACCTGCTAATCCAAAATCAGGCTCGATCACCTTAGGGACTCCAATAATGTCTCAACCACGATATGAAGTTCTCAGACAAATGCCTGAAACTAAGATGGGCTCAATTACCCAAGGTACACCAGTTATTCCACATAATATGCAAGAAAAAAGAGTATACGATTATTATAACAAAAGAGGAACAGTACCACCACCGCCACCACAAAGTCAAAATCAGCAGTTGCAATATCCAGGACAATATAGGCAACCCGCTTACAATGTCGAACAACAATTGAGCTCTAGGCAAATAATTATTAACGATTATATTACATCGCAGCAAATGTTAAGTAGGAGGAATGAAAAACCTCAGTATTATCCGGCTAATTCTCCTCATCGCACCCCACCACCGCCGCAGCCTGGACAACAACAAAGACAAGGTGTTATACAGAGACACACTAGGCCACAATATTTGCAACCGGGACACGAAGCCTTATCTTCTTTAGTTGATGTTGCCGTTCAACAACCTTCTTTACCAGTTCCAAGTGCTCACGAAGGTCTTGGAAAAACAATGGCTGATAATATATTAGAGCAACCTCACAGATATCAGATGATTCAGCATCAACAACAGCAATTAAGGCAACAGCAGCAGAGAATAGAGGAACAACGAAGAGCAGTTTTTCATCAGGCACAGCAACAGCAGCATCAACAGCAGCAACAACAACAGCATCAACAGCAGCAGCAGCAACATCAACAACAGCAGCAGCAGCAACATCAACAACAGCAGCAGCAGCAACATCAACAACAACAGCAGCAACATCAACAGCATCAGCAGCAACAACAACATCAGCAGCAACAACAGCATCAGCAGCATCAACAGCAGCAACAACAGCATCAGCAGCAACAACAACAGGTGCAACATCAACAAAATAGGCAACCGGTACGACCCGATAACAGTACTTTAACTGCAGCTAGCTTAATCGATGCCATTATAACGCATCAGATAAATCAGACCGCCGAAGGAGGTAGAGAAGTTGTTACGAATACTAGAGAGCAAAGAGCGGGAGATCTGCTTTTCCAAAAGTTCCACCGCGGCGAACCGCCTCCGCAGCAGGCTCAGGATAACGGAGAGAGGCCGTCATCGGTTATAAGTGTCGATTTGGACGGAGATACTATAAATAAGAATCTTACAGTGAAAGAGCTAACCGACTCTGTCATTAGTCACGATTTCGGAGCCCGACAACCTTATTATCATTTACAAGAAAACATGAACGAACAATGGAAACGAAGAATACAACAGCAACATCAACATCATAACGATGACAAACGTTCTCAAACGCCGCTTCAAGACGAAAGACAGATTATAAGGATTGCTCAGCCGCAACAAAAGTATATAGAGAGGGTGGAGTCTGCATCGCCTGATAACAATCATTGGTCCGAACAGAATTTCCGAAGATATCCCCAAAATCAGCCACACATCTCTCCCTTAGATTATGTAAAAAATAGAATTGTAGAAGTTATGAGAACCGAAGATGATAATAAGAAAGATCTCCAAGATGGTTCACATTCCCAGGAGAAAGATCGCAGCGACAGTCCCGGCGATATGGTGATCGATGAAGAAAAACACGAAAACGAGTTTAGTCAGCAGCAGCAGCAGCAGCAGCAGCAGCAGCAGCAACAAAGTTCCCAGCAGCAGAGCGGCTTTTATTCTTTCATTCATAAAGATTCCACTGCCAATGACAATTCGAGAATTAATGAACCTAAACCTCTGTTGAGTGCGCAGTACGAGCCGCTTTCTGATGAGGATTAACGTTTGAAGATATCTGTGTTTTAGACTTTTTTGAAGTTTTCTTCTTGTCTGTACATAATAAGTAATAAGTGATATTTTAGGATATGTTTAATGTTATTTACACTTGGAACCTGGCCCTTGATTGATACTTTTCATAAATATGTGGTTTGTGGAACTGAAATTTATATTTTTTATCCGACTGAATATCTTCATATTGATTAATATTATAAATTATACGACATTTGATTATTTTTTTTTATATATATAAAAAAAAATAATATATCAATTGTGTAATGTCTAATGACTGTTTGTTTTGTAAAAAAATTAGATTGACTAAATCAGTCTGGAGATATATAGTTGTTTTATAGAATACAATGTGTCTATTAGATCTCGTATATACGTTGAAAATTATTTTTGACTAAAATGGGAAACTTACACTGGTGTTGTATGAATGAAATAAAAAAAAATTAGGGATTTATTTATTAAAGTTAAAATTTAACTTTTATTAAAAATGTGTTTTCAAATTAGTGCAGCTCATTACAGCATTCGTTTGGAAAACTGTTTAGATTTTTATCTTGTGAGGAAAATTGTACTGATTATAAAAATGAAAATAAGCAATCACTGAGTTTAAAAAAAATGTTTATAGATACACAACATCAGATTTAAGGTTACAATTGTTTTTTTCAATTTATAATGATGTTTTAGCGTTCATTGAGTGAAATGGATTTCATAGCATGAACGCCACGACTACCTGAAAGCGCATTGGTTGAAATAACAGTTGTCTTTTGTTGTCTTTAGCTGTCTTCATTTGTCTTCAAATGAATTAATTGTCTTTAGTTGTCTTCATTTGTCTTCATTTGTTTTCATCTGTCTTCATTTGTCTTCATTTATATTCGTCTTCATTTATATTTGTCTTAATTTGTCTTCTTTTCTCTTCTTTGGCGTAATTTATCTTCGTTTGTCTCTTCATTTGTCTTCATTTATATTCGTTTTAATTTGTCTTTATGTTTCTTCATTTGTCTTATTTTGTCTTCTTTGTCTTAATTTGTCTTCAGTTGTCCTTAATTGTATTTAATATTGTCTTCAATATTATCTTTAAATAATGTTTACGCTTTAGTCCAAAATATGAGTTGAAGTTGTTGAACGCATCGTGACATTTATGTGTCATGACAGATAATGACAATTGTTATTAGGATTTCTTCTTTCCCAGTTAAAAAGAAATTATTTTATTTGCGTTAAGTGCATACGCCAGAGCACGCAAGCTTACGTATGAACGTGAAGGATATTTTAATGCGCATGGGTAGATGTGTAGACGTGTTTTGAAAAAACCACATGTCAGTTTTTCAGAAATTTTATGATATGACACATGGGTCTATAACATAAGTATCTAAGTCCCTTGGGTGGAGAAAATCCGCCAAATTACCGGTAGTCCAAGATACGAACGGTTAATTTCGACCATTTTTTTCATAAACCTCATAATATGTCACCGGCAGTTTTCATTAAATACAACAAAAGTTAAATTTGAAGACAACTGGAGTTTATGCAAAGAACACTTCAATTGTCTTAAGTTGTCTTCAGTTGTCTGCAATTGTCTTCAATTGTTTTCAATTGTTTTCAATTGTCTTCAATTGTCTTCAATTGTCTTCAATTGTCTTCAATTGTCTTCAATTGTCTTCAATTGTCTTCAATTGTCTTCAGTTGTCTTCAATTGTTGTCTTCAATTGTTATCTTCAATTGTTGTCTTGTCTTCAATTGTTGTCTTCAACTGTTGTCTTCAATTGTTGTCTTCAATTGTTGTCTTCAATTGTTGTCTTCAATTGTTGTCTTCAATTGTTGTCTTCAATTGTTGTCTTCAATTGTTGTCTTCAATTGTTGTCTTCAATTGTTGTCTTCAATTGTTGTCTTCAATTGTTATCTTCAATTGTTGTCTTCAATTGTTGTCTTCAATTGTTGTCTTCAATTGTTGTCTTCAATTGTTGTCTTCAATTGTTGTCTTGTCTTCAATTGTTGTCTTGTCTTCAATTGTTGTCTTCAATTGTTGTCTTCAATTGTTGTCTTGTCTTCAATTGTTGTCTTCAATTGTTGTCTTCAATTGTTGTCTTCAATTGTTGTCTTGTCTTCAATTGTTGTCTTCAATTGTTGTCTTCAATTGTTGTCTTCAATTGTTGTCTTCAATTGTTATCTTCAATTGTTGTCTTCAATTGTTGTCTTCAATTGTTGTCTTCAATTGTTGTCTTCAATTGTTGTCTTCAATTGTTGTCTTCAATTGTTGTCTTCAGTTGTTGTCTTCAATTGTTGTCTTCAATTGTTGTCTTCAATTTTCTAAAATTTTCTTCAGTTGTTGTCTTCAATTTTCTAAAATTTTCTTCAGTTGTCTTCAATTTTCTAAAATTTTCTTCATGTGTCTTCAAGTATCTTCATTTGTCTTCAGATTTAATAATTTTTCTTCGTTAATATTAAATTTAAAACGACCAATGAATGATAAACAATTTAAATAAAAAATGTTGACAAACTTATCTGGATAGAACCACTGACACGTCTGATTGTCTTCAACTGTATTCAATTGTCTTCAATTTTCTTGAATTTTCTGGAATTTTCTGGAATTTTCTTTAAATTTGCCTGAATTTCCTTGAATATTCTTGAATTTTCTTGAATTTTCTTGAATTTTCTTGAAATTTCTTGATTTTTTTTTCAATTGTCTTTTTTTGTCTTCAGGTTTAATCATTTTTTTTAACAGTTTTCGTTAATATTGTCACGAATTGCATATAAAAATAATTAGATTTTTATTAAAGATAAAATAAAGTACTTTCCAAAAATATATTTCAACTCAAATTTTATTAAAGCCATTATAAGCCATTATAATTTTATTTCAATCTCTTTAATTTCAATTCAATTCCAATTTGTGTTTAATATTACATTTAAAGTTATTTAAAACAATAACAATCTTTTCGTCTAGTAATTAAAAACTTTATTTTATGTTGAAAGTAAACAATGCACTCATTTCGGTTATGCTGATTCTACAATTTCAAAACAATGTTGGGGTCAGCTAGCCAAATTGACAAAACAAAAAATAACAACATTTTTGGCACAACCGAGGCTATAAGTTCTTCTAATTATTTTTATATGCAATTCGTGACAATATTAAATTTAAAACGACCAATGTGAATGATAAACAATTTAAATAAAAAATGTTGACAAACTTATCTGGATAGAACCACTGATACGTCTGATTATTAGCAACAGACATTTTGTCTCGCTATTTAAAAAAACTTTAAAGGAAGGTGCGCATTACACGAAAGTTTTACCATATTTTGATATTTGAAAGTTACTGTCACTTAGGTATGTTTGTGATAGAAGATACTGCCGTTCAAATAACGTAACTTAACGATACTTAACTGTTTATAGAAGTAATTAAAATAAACGACTTTTTTTTTAAAACTTTCAAAAAAACTTAAAAATAAGAAACTTACAGTAATTTGTTCCAAAATGTATCGAATATGGTCCTATATAATTCAAATAATGTGTTCAAAGTTGTCACTATTCACTTCAATGCATTTCCTTCCGTAAATCAACTGTATACCTAGCCCCTTGAGCCGGATTAATGAAAGTTCTGGAACGAAAATGAGATCACATTCACTGTACAACAGTAATACAGCAGCTGCCCTTTGAAAACACGCCATAAATAATCAACATATCCATAAATTCATTGTTGTCACAATTTATCATATTGAATAATTTACATTCACTACTTAAGATAAACACGATACTGAAATCACACGCGACTGAATTACGATAATCGGTAAATAATGAAGCGCGATTCATTCATAAATAAAGGTAAAAAACTTTTTATGGATCCTTATTTTTGAGTTTTTTTGAAAAAAGTTCTATATACAGTTAAAAATATCAATTTAAATTACAAATACGATTAATGTATAGACAATTAAAATTTTTAGAGATTTTTTATTGGTACTATGTTTTTAAAGGTAGAATATGGCGTTTGATTTGCACTGTTATACAGGGTGGTCCGTTAATAATGGAACACAGAGTAACTATAAAAACAGAAATAGATACTAAATAAATTGTTTACTGTTACTTTTTGAAAAAATTAAAAATATCAACTTGTCTGGTTTTTATCTGGCAGTAGTGGATTATTGTTTGGATATATAAAATATTATAAAAAATAAACCAGTAGAGACTAACACCAATGAAATATTAAAAATAAACCTTGTTTCTATTATTTAAAATGTTTGCAGTACGAAAAATATCATTTTTATAATCTTCAACTTACCTCATCAGCTAAAAACAATTTGAATATATTTTCAAAGGAATGCGCGATGCACTAAATTGATAATATATGTTATTACTGATATGAATATTAGTGTATTGAAAAAACATATTGATTAGTAATAAACACATTGTAGTTTATTCATTTGTAATATATTTGAATGAAGGGTCTAAATGTAGCGTCCAACATTTAGTAATTTTTTAATAATATAACTTGTAGATACATATTTTTAATTTTATTAACTGAACACAAAACCCGACTTATTGATGTACATATTATGTGAACATAAAAATCCTAAGTGTAAGTCGATATACGTTTATAGATATGGTACGTAACGTCTAAATTATTTACGATTGGTTTTTTTATGCGATTGTGTCCAGTTTTTTGCATTTCCAATATTTGTCATTTATTTTTTTATTTTTTTACGTGGTTATTAGCTCTGTGTTAAAGAGAATTTTAATAATTTTGCGTTAGTGCAATTCAGTTCTGCTATTATTTTTTTTTAACTTGTACATTTTTACTGTAATGTGTACATGTTGGATTTTATTTTAAATATATTTTTGGGAATGTAAATAACTAAACTAAGTATAAATATTTATAGAATATATAAGGTATCCCATTGTAAATATTTGTGAATTTTTTTTTTTCATTTTTCTGTTTCACAATGTAATTTAAGTCTTTACGCTTTTGGCGTCTAAAACTAGACGAACTGATCATTTTTCTACACTATAAAAGAAATGCTTCCAGAATATGTACACTGTCAATTTTTTAGTTCATAATTTTCAGATAATGACTTGTTATTTTGTTGAATTAAATGAATATCAGTTGGAATTTTTCTTATTAATAATATACCTTCCAAATTTTTTAATATTCTTTTTTTTTTAACTAACAGCCCATAAAATAAAAAAAAATCTTCACAACCAAGATGATTGTCTCTAGAAGGTAAGTCCAAGAACTTCATACAGTACAAAGTTGAAAAATTACAGAAATTTCAAAACATTACAGTGCGACTAGTAAAAAAAAATAATCTGAAAGGTGAGTAGCTACAATAGGTAGGTCATCAATATACAGAGTGTTTTATAATTGAATTTTAATATTTAATAAACAAATAAATGATTAAAATACATGCAATTAGGACCATTGAAGAGACAATTATCTAAATACATACAACTAGCATTATTAAGGATCATAATTTTCCAAATACAACTAGCATAGAATTAATATTATTTTCTCTATTAAGGACCTAATTGTCCAATGAACAAAATTTGTAATTACTAATGTAACGACATCATTCTTCACATGAGAAAGAACGTGACTCAGTGTACAATTGTACTAGACCTAGTACATTAAGAGTCTGGTACTCTAGTACACTCGAAGCAAAATCTAGTACGTTTTAGTTTTTCAGCGTATGTTTCCATTTGACGTGTAAAATATATTGAGAGTTTTAGCAAATGTACGTTTTTGTTCTGCTCTTCAATGGTACAATTTCTAGAATCTGGTACATTTTTATGGAATCTGGTACATTTTTTAGACAAATCTGGCAACACTGGTTGTTTTCTGTGCGTTGTTTTGCGTGTGTTATTTGCGTGCTTTGTTTTGCGTGCATTGTTTTGCGTGCGTTGTTTTGTGTGCGTTGGGCCTAGTTTTGTTTACGTTGTTTTGTGTGCGTTGTACATCGTTTTATGTGCGTTGTGCGTCGTTTAGTGTGCGTTGTTTTGTATATGATGCGTTGTTTTATGTGCGTTGTGAGTCGTTTTATGTACGTTGTGCGTTGTTTTGTGTGCGTTATGCGTTGTTTTGTGTGCGTTATGCGTTGTTTTATGTGCGTTAAGCGTCGTTTTGTGTGCATTGTGCGTCGTTTGTGTGTGTTGTTCTTTGTGCGTTGTACGTCCTTTTGTGTGCGTTGTGCGTCGTTTTGTGTGCGTTATGCGTCATTTTGTGGGCGTTGTGCCTCATTTTCTGTGTTGTTTTGTGTGCGTTGTTTTGTATGCTTTGTGCGTTGTTTTGTGTGCTTTGTGCGCGTTGTGCGCCGTTTTGTGTACTTTGTGCGCTATTTTATGTGCGTTGTGCGTCGTTTTGTGCGTTGTTTTGTGTGCGTTTTGTGTGCGTAGGCTTCGTTTTATGTGCGTTGTACGTCGTTTTGTGTGCTTGTTTTGTGTGCTTGTTTTGTGTGCGTTGTGCGTCGTTTTGTGTGCATTGTACGTCGTTTTTGTGTGTTGTTTTGTGTGCGTTATTTTGCGTGCGTTAATAGAAGCAGACACCACCCAGACAT